GATCTTGTATTTTGGGTTCATGAGTGTTGGTTAATTCTTGCTGGATTTTCGACGAACACACCTATTGTTAATTTTTTACTTCTTTGCCGACATTTATATTTTGGATCAGCTGTTATCTGTTATCGTTTCAGCGCTTATCAAATGACAATTGCCTTTCAGATTTCTAACTTTTATAGAAATAAAATAGTTTATAAACAATAAAAGCTTATTTTCAAAATTCTCGTTTTAATTCATGGTCTAAAGTTTAAATATCAGCAACCGCCTAAATTCTTAGTGGAAAATCATATTTCTGAATGGCTTTAAGAATCGGATTGCCTCTGCGTAAAAACTACGCGAAATTGGTCTTTGGTGACATTTCTCCACTTCAATCCATTCGTTTTTTATCTTCGAGGTGAGCCGGAGAGCAAATATTAGACTTATGACTTATGACGACTAATCAGTAGTTCTTAATTTCAATTCGAACCGATTGGTGCTTAATGTTACTAAATATTTAATTTTCAACTTTTAGCAAAAGTTCAGTTCCAAAAATGCGTTTTGTACAATTTTTGCGTAAAAATGATGATCGTAGACGTCTTGGTGTGGTGTCTGAAGACGGTAGCAAATTGGTTGAATTATCGGGTGGAGCATGTATTTCCAATGACATGGTTTCGTTTATATCCCAAAACATTTCAATGGAGGAAATTCAACGTAAACTGAACGGTCTTCAAACTGAGGAAATGACAGATTCACACATTCTTCTGCCGCCTTTAGTAAATCCCCAAAAGATAATTTGCATAGGATTAAATTTTAAAGACCATTGTGAAGAACAAAACAAGCCAGCTCCAACGGAGCCCATGTTTTTCAGTAAATTTAATACTGCACTGACCGGACCCACGGGAGATGTGATCGCACATAAAATTACTACAGTAAGTGTACTTATACTTATACATATACACATATGCCTCTACTTATACATATACACACATATATACCACAATATGCACAATATGCACTTATAAACTTGTATGTACATATGTTCATAGATGTGTCGAATGACGAGTTTCAGATAAGACATAGATAGGAATACCTAAGGTTATTCTGCAAATTCTATATTTTTGCCA